CACACAAATATATAAAGAAAAAAATAACTATTACAAAAATAATCTCAAATAAAATAAAGACAAAAGAAACTTTTATATATATGGAAAAAGATATAAATTAAATAAAATGTGAGAAAAAGAAAAATCAAGATATCTTGACATTAAAAATGTCAAAATATCCAATTATAATTATTAAATATGTGGAGCATAGTATAAATCCTAATTTTATCAAATTCATCATGTAACAATTATTAGATCTCTTAACATTTTTAATACTGAGACAACTTTATTTTTCCTTTTCCCATAAAATTTATTTATAAAATAAATAAAGATTTCACAAAAATTACATCAATTATCATTACACAACTTAAAACTTTTATCCACCACTTACTTTTTTTTTAATTTTATTTTTAATCTCATTTATTCACTTTAACATATCCAAATGAGGATGGCCAGGCCAAAAAAAAAAAAAAATTTGTTGTCCATATGAGGGGAGGGAGGAGATGTATGACTATCTTGCTATTATTTTCATGATTTAGCCAACTTATTTGTCACAGAAGTCATACATTCAATTAGAATGAGATTGCTTTGCTACTGTAAACTCTGAACGTTTGCTTTAAATATAAATGAATCATATAGAGGATTCATTAATAGCAAAAAGAGAATTGCATAAATGTTGTACATCAATAAGATATTGGTGAATAATGATCTTGCGTGTGGAGCTTGCAGATTTCCTTTAGAAGATACAGACCATATTCTTCTAAAATGGAAAGTAGCCATAAGATTATGGGGGGTTTTGCTTTAGATAGTGGGGAATTCAGTATGTTTTGCATGAAAACTGTAGGAGGCCTTTCGACAACATTGCTTTGTATCTAAAGACAAGAAAGTTAGGCAAGGGTGGGAGACAGGATAATTTGCTCTAATATGGACGTTATGACTTGCAAGGAATGTCAGGATTTTCAACAAAGAACCCACATGGATGTGGCGAAATTGTTTGATTTAATCCAAGTCCGTTCCTTTCAATGGTTTCAAGAAATGGTGGAGGGTTATACGTTCTCTTTAACGGAATGGGTGATGCAGCAAGTGACTTGTTTATGTGGAAGGCCAACAAGAATTGTGGGGTAATGGATCATAAAGTGAAAGAATAATGTAAGTTGTGAATTGAAGTGCACTACATTCTACTATAAACTTATTTTGTATGGGTTCAGATTAACCCTTATACTCTATAAATGAGAAAATTTTCTTTGTTGCTCAAAAAAAAAAAAATATTGGTGAAAATTAATCATCATGATGCCAATTCTTTTTATTAAACATCCTTTAAAAAAAATTTCAAAAGTTTTAGTATTTTTACTTGTAACTTTTTAATTCTACAAGAGCAAGATACTCATTGGCAAGTAAGATTCAAAGTGAGTTTGGATTCAAAGAGTGGGAGGGAAAGGGTAGGAGATTAAGATACTCCTTTTGATTCTCTCTTATTTACTAATTTTAATCCAAACATACCTTAGTCATAGCAAATGAAAAGTCTTGTTTGTGTATTGTGAATATTCAAAGCTTTTAATTCAAAATTAAACATGAATTCAAATGCAGTTTAGGTATGAAATTGAGGTGGAAATTGAAGTATTGTCATAATTTGGTGATAGAAATTGTAATGTTTTAATGATTAGAATTTTGATAAATTAAATATTTAAAATAGTATTTTAAATATACTCTTAGTGTTTGGTATTTACACAGGTAAGGTATCTTCAAGAGTTAATTTTCGTCTAATTTGAGACTAATCCCTTTAATGATGATTTTAAACGTGCAGGCCCCACATTAGCCTAATACATTCAAGAAAATTAATTCCCCAAAGATCAAAACCGTAACTTATAAAACAAGAGTTACTTATTAACAGATCAAACTTTTTTAAATATACTTTTACATATATAAACTTATGTGATACTATGTGATTATGTGTTACTATCATTGAGTTATAATGCATTTTTTATTCAAGACAATATACACTTACATTTTCAATCAGAGTTATTAACTTCCAAGTTCCAACATCAGCCAACATAAGATGTAGAAGAGGCCAAAAATCTATATTTCTAGTTGTGCCTAATGATTAGCTCAATGTAATATAATTTTAGTTTTAAGTTTTAAGTCCTTATTTTTATATATTTAATAACTATTATTATATTTAAAATTTAAATTTATTATAAAAATTTGAATTTATTAGATTTAATTTAAATATAGTACTATTATTAAATTATATAAAAAATAAAAATCAAAAACCCACAACTAAAACTATAGTAAACAGAACTTTAGCATTTGGTGAAATTTAATTTTATTTTGTATATCTAACTTATGTTACTGGCACCCAAGTTAGGAGTTCAATCCTAACTTCTATATATATCAGGATGTGTGCAGACAATCACATCAGTCACCAAGTGATCCATATGTCTTCCATCGTTGTTATACATTGCTCTAGTTCGACAACGAGTTCTTAGTAGCTAGTGTAGTTGTTGGGTTAAATTTGAGGGCAAGAACCTACCTTTAATCCCTTATCTTAATAAATTTAATACTTTTAGCTTTTCACCCCACACACTAACATTTTTGGCCTTTCGCCTATTTAACTCAAAAGAAATAGCCCAAATTTAACATCAAGTTATCATGTGCCTAACATACCCATTAACATTTCATTATCTTTATTTCCTTATCACTACCACACAAGCTAATTTACGCCAATTGGGCATGTCACTATGGCTTCTCATGGGTAGAAAATCTAAATAAAAAAACTAAATAAAAAAACTAAGTGACTCTCAATTGACCTAAAAACTAAATTAAGGAAAAAGAAACAAATAACAAGACAAAAGATTTCCGTTGATATTTGAACTATCAAACAAATCTTCTTTGCCTTTTTCACTAACCAGAGAATCTAGGTTAAAAACTCAAAGAATCTTTAAAAAGGTTAAAGGTACCATAGCAAGAAGGACAAATTTTCACTATAGCCCCAAGGGTTAGTACCGTTTCATATCGATCGGTATGGCTAGTACATACCAATTTTTTCATTGGTCTGAAACGGTACATGGTTCAATTTCGTTTCAGTCAAATTTCGTCGATTTTGATCAAATTTTCACGTACCGACCGATATTTTGATGTACTGGCCAGTACACGAAAAATCACCGGTGCAAAACAATTCAAATTTAAAATTGACAAATTTCATTTCTGGTCCTCAACTTTAATATTTTACATAATTTTCATCCTTTAACTTTTTTTAATATTTTTTTAGTCCATTAACTATGAAAAATGTATTTTTTTAATCTTTTTATCAGTTAATCTATTAAGTTTATCTAAATATGCACATTTAATATTTAAGAAAAAAAAAGAAAAAATTATGAATATTTTATAAAATTGATCATTTTAAACTTGTTTTCAATTTATATGAATATGATGGTTTTAAACATTAGTTTCTCTCCTCATTATTTTCAAATTTAATATTTAATTTATAAAAATATATATTTATAGCGATAAATCTGAAATGGTACATGAAAAATTTTGGTATCTGGTACTTACCGTTTCAATAGCAAAACTAGTACGTATGTTAGTATAGTATTGACAACTTTACTATAACCTTTGCAGTTGGACCACAAGTTCAATAGTTATTGTTCATTATTGACAGTTTTGATTTGTCCTAGGGTTTGGTCTTCTCAATCAATGAACAACAATAAACAAAAAGGCATGAATATTATAAGAATTAATATAGATTAAGCTTAATTAAATAGTAATTAATGAAAAAGAGATAACGAAATGTTAAGGAAATTTGCTTGCGCAGCAATGACAAGGAAAGAGATAACAAAATGTTAAGGAAATTAGCTTGTGCAACAATGACAAGGAAAGAGATAACAAAATGTTAATTATCATGTTAGGCATGCGATAACTTACCATTAATTTTAGGCTATTGCCCTTAAGTTGAATAGTTGAGGTGTTAAAAAATTTAGTGTATAAGTTGAGGGGTTAAAAACATTAAATTTATTAAGGTAAGGGGCTAACGGTGGGTTTTTGCCTAAATTCAAGTCTCGAACTTAAACCAGAGCACCTTAGAGATAATTATTGTGTAGCATTGCAAACTCATTCAAATATCCAATACATGCCATGTTGTCATAAGCTCCATGAGAGCGAAATTGAGTAAGATAAATTGGGAAGCAACCTACATGAAAGTTTTCCAAGAACAACAACAAATAGCACAAAATCTGATCACCTCATACATATTTAAGAAATAGAGGAAAAACTAATGACCTATTAGTTTGAGTGGAAAGAAGTCGATTTTCTTTATTAAATAAGGTCTCAAGTTTGAATCTTGTAAATGGAGAGACAAGCATAGACCTGGCAATTTTTCACCCAACCCGCTAACCTATCCATTACCTGCCCATTTAAAACAAGTTAGGGTCAGATATTTATGATCCGTGACCCATTAATGACCCATTGAGAGAACTCGACGGGTCACAGGTCAATAATGGGTTGACCCATCAAGTTAATTGGTTTGATCCTTTTACTTGTCTAAAAATTTAAAAAATTTTAATTTATTATTTATTTATTTTGTTTTCCAATTCCCAATTCCACCTAAACCTTTAATAATTGACTAATTTTTCCTAATTAGCTCATTGATTCTCTTAACTCATCATCTTCTAGAAGTAAAAATAATCCACTCAACTTATGACTCACCTCTCGATGTTCCATATTCTTGTTTGCCCTAATATTCTCTAAGACTTTAACTCTTCAAAGTTCAAACTCTTCTCATATTCTTCAACCTCCAACTCCCATGGTCCATACAACCTTCAACTTTCAAGTTTCGACTCCACCTTTTCTTTTTAGTCTTTAACATTATCTCAAACTTAAATCTTAGTCTCATCGAGTCACCATTGTATCAACTTAGCCCTTTCTTTCTTTCTCCTTCGAGTCCAACAAGTGCTCTCTTTGTCACCAACTTTTCTCTCTAAAGCCTTCAAGGTAAGTTGTTTACTTATTTATGCCTTTTAGTTTTCTTTCCATTCCAAGTAAAAATTCTACTTGATCTTCTCCTTTGCTTACTTAGATGCATTCAATTGATTGATTCTTTGAAAGCAATGACTAGAACAAATATGTTCCAATGGGGTTTGTGTTTTTTGGTTGTCATGCTACTATTGCCCTTTTTTTTTTTTGCTATTGAGAGTTATAAGTGTGTGGTGTTCTCGAATTTGATTAGTATTGTTCTTTGAAGGGAATTGGAGAAGGTGATTCTGAAGAACTGTAAATATGTTTTATTAAATTAATGGGAAAAAATTCTTTTTGTAAGACGTTGAATTTCATTTTTAAATCTTTTGAATAATTTTCTTTAAAGGATAATAGATACAAATTATAGAGAGAAAAAAAAAAAGAAAAAAAAATAATTGGGTCAACCGCAGGTTGACCCGTGACCCGTGACCCGTGACCCGTGATGGGCGGGTTAGGGTTAGTTTTCATTGACCCGTGACCCATTTTAACCCAACCTGTTTTGACCCGTGACCTGTTCTGACCCGACCCTAACCTAACCCAACCCAACCCGCTTGGTGCCTGTTTGCCAGGTTTAGACAAGCATTGGGAGAGTTTTCCCTTTATGGAATATGACCTGGCTCCACTCTAAAGTATTTAAGGATTAATATGGCTTCTAGATACTAAAAGGTTTAGTACTAAAAAAGAAAGGTTAAATACCCTTTTTGGTCCCTCTACTATAGGAAAAAGCCCCTTTTTAGTCCCTATACCGAAAAATCCCCTTTTTGGTCCTTACTGTTCACAAATCCAACCCCTTTTTAGTCCTTCCGTTAAATTTTGCTCACGTGGCACGTTAACTTAATTGGAACAGCTGACGTGGGTATGTCAATGTGTAAAAGATGCTTACGTGAACTTAATGACACCCTCCACATCACCCTCCACGTCACTCTCCACTTCCTCCGGCCTTTTTTTTTTCTTTTTTCTTTTTTCTTTTTTCCCTTTTACCCCCAAGCAAACCCAAGAGCCTAGGTTCGCAAGGAACCCAGCTCGCAGGTTCGCAAGGAACCCAGCTCGCAGGTTCGCGATGAACCCAGAAGCCTGGGCTGGCGATGAACCCAGCTTGCTAGTTCGCGATGAACCCAGGCGCCTGGGTTCACGTGGAATGAGTCTTACCCTGAGAAATGGAGAAGATTTGCGTTGCTGTGAGAGTGAGACCGCGGTTTCCCAAGATACCTCCATTAGAACCTACTGGAAGGTCAAGGGCAACCGCATCTCCCTCCACAGGCCTCACGGCACTCCCATCTCCGGCGTCTCTTACGCTTTTGGTAAAAACCTGGATCTTCATTTCTATTTCATCTTCGATTTACCATGTTATCAGTGTGGATTTTGTTCAATTAAGCTTTTCTTTTTTGTTTTCGCATTTGCAGATCATGTGTTCGATGAAACCTACTCAAATGCTCAAGTTTACGAGCTTCTTACCAGGGATTTAATTCATGCCGCGGTTGAAGAGTTCAATGGCATTCTTCTTTTCCTCAAATCGTCCAAATTTGTTCAATCACTAAGATTTGGCTTTAAGCCTTTAGGTTCTCTTTGTATTTTGTTTGGATCTAAGAAAGCATCATAGGTTGTTTCTGAGATATCTAAGAAATTAAAATGTTTGATTTGAATTTCGTAACCTTAAAACATTTTCCTTTTGGTTGGATTTTTTCGACTTTGTTGGAAGACTTACTAGTTTGGGTGCGAGAATTGATTGATTTAATCTCATGAAAAAGAAGCATTACATTTGTGTAGTGATTTTCGTGCTTGTTTGTGGATTGATTTGGAGCATGTGACACTGACATGGAAATGTTGTTGGGTTC